TACCTTCTTGTATTGATGGGGCGTGCAGCATTTGTTTATAGTAGGAGTAGTATAGTCCACACTCTGTCCGAAAGGAGATCTCCCTCTCCACTTCCTGAAAATAAAAAGAAGGATTTTAGTTTCATGAAAGCAAACGCTTCTGTTCTCTGTAATATGGAAAACAGATATCCTGGCAAGACATGACAGAAACATGGAGGATAAAGGCAAAGCAGCTAATACACTCATAATCCTCTCCAGTAATAATCAGACAGGTAACACCGTGTGTGAGTGCGTGCTTGGAGGATGTCTTCCCAAGAGACTTCCTGCTCGTCATGCGTGATTACTGCTCCTCGGGGGGTTAAGAGGAGAGAGCAAACAGCGAACAACCAGCTGTGGAATATTAAGCCAATCATTAATCTATCATATTTAGTCTGCAAATTGTTTTTGCAACTGTGCTTGACAAAAAGGAAACGCTTTGATTTTAGCTACTCGTTTCTTCTAAAACTCACTGAAAGTCTGTCAAATTGTTTCTCCAGATTTACTGCAGCCAAATCCGGTCCAAGCAATCTCCAAATCCTCCGCGTGTTAAAAACCAAAGCATGTTTCCCAGTATTGCTGCAAAGCATTTTATCTGATATTTTTCCAGTAACAACTTCCAGTAATAACTAAAACCTCACAAAAAGACTATAAAATTAGAAACGTATATAACATCTGTCCATTAAAACCAACTGATCAATAGAAAGGATTTTCCAATAATAACATTCAATTTCTGATATTCATACAAACTTGTACATAAAACGTTCTGTATTCTGAACAGATTTCACGCATTTCAGAGGAGAATGAGCCTAATTTAAACAGCCTGGCTCATTCTGCAGTTCTTATATCTGACAAATCATCATAACCAGTCTGTGGAAACCTGAGAGCAGTTATTTGTCCTGTAGCCGTCAGGGAGCGACAGGACAGGGGATCCCAATCAGATCGCCCACCGAGGCAGGGTTTCCCACCAGTTAATTAATGTCATTTATTTGGTTGAAACCATTAGCTGATTAACAGAGTGTAAATCAGCATGGGTCTGCCTCCTGAGGAGAACAGCAGAAAACCACTGGTTCATAACGCAGATATGATCAGCTGCAAAAAATTAAATACGCATTTGGACGAGTCTCTGGAAGAAAAGACAAGACTGATTCTACGAGCACAGGGACGGCCCGGAGCGCAAGAACGATGAGGAGGGCAGCGAGCGTTTTTAACCTCTCGGGACTCTCTGCAGCCACAGGCGCTCGGTTATTGTTCTTGTTGCTCCGTCAGAAAAACAAGACCACATCTGGAAAAACTATCAAAGTTACTGACATCATACAAAAACATGGCAGATTAAATAAATATTTTGATCATGGTAAGAGCATTTTGATTAACAACGGGAAACCACGTTAGCTGCTCCACGTGTGAACTGATCCCGATCAGTCACAGACGTATCAGCTACGAGCCTCAAAAGGAGGTCATGTATATTACTGGCACCATCTATGAAGAAGCTGTTTCAACACACTCTGCAAATGAGTTCACCGCATCATCTTTGTATGATTTAGAAGCAAATAAACACCCGAAAATTGAAAGAATGAGTTCACAGCTCAAGAAATGGGAACATCCAGGAAGCACTTGGAGTCACAGATTTGACCTTTTGCAGGAAGATTGATGGCATCTACATCCTGTGTTTAAATGAAAGCTAACAGACTGTCTGAGAAGTTGATGGAGTGGCAGCCAGACGAGAGTGCGAGCCTCCCAGGACTCATCCATACACTGAATGGATGCACGGCATTTCCACAAATACATGTGGATTAATAGACATATATATAGAAACTGTGTTGTTTACCTCCAGTGGCAACAAACATAATGTTAAAAGTTGACAAATAGACACCTTCATAAAAACTTCCTACACATGAAGAGAAAAATTAGCAACATTTTCGTACCAGGGTCTAAATGTGACCGTCTGTGAAGTCAGACGTTTTAACATTGGAGTCTACAGAGGCTGACTCGCGTTTGGATACGACCTCTAGTGGCCATTCCAGGAACTGCACTGATTTGGCATTGAGTTGCATCTTGGTTGAAGAGATATTTCTTGGTACTTAAGATCATTTCTAACATTTCTGAATTATGCAACACTTTTCCAACTGAGCAGGCGAAACTTTATCTCCAACTTCAGAAAAGAAAAAAAACAACAGACAGAAAAAAATAAATCTATGCCACTTCAACTATAAAGGAGATAATAACAGCATCAGATGCCTGTTGCTTGCTGGATCTTTGTACCGTGATCTCACTGTTATTGGGGCCACTCTGTAACGACCTAACACCACAGAAGGGGCGGGAGCTCTGACTGTGGTTGCAGATTGGACGACGGTGTGCTGTGATGGTTTTCATTAGCACCGTGCTGCAGACTGAACCCAGGAAGCAGACTGAACCTGCCCCCCGAGGCGGTCGAAGCAGAGCTCGTTTGTAATGTGTTTGGTTTATCAATCGCTCAAATTGAAACACTTTCTATAAACACGTAATAACTCCTACCGTGAGCTGTGAGAACCACAGCAGATTCTCATGTAAGCCGTTCACACACCAGGCCTGAGTCAGTGCCAGCAGCACAGCCGCTAACAGCCCTGCTGCCATGAAAACGCACTGTTGCCAAGGCCGCTGGGGTGAAACGCCTGAACCGGAACGGGAACCGGATCGCCCAAGCAGAGAAACCCCTCCTTCACCCCCCTCCTGCGTTCCCGACAGAGCGTTATGGTTACATCTGCCTTCAGACGGCGCATCTTGTGAAAGGCCATGTTTTGGCTTCACCCTCTTACGGAGCTCCATTGCCTGGGAACGCAGAGATTATCAATAAATTCTTGGATCCTTTGATGAGCTGAATCCAGGTAGATAAACAGGACGCTCCCGGGTTAAGGTACAGAACTGATCCAAATCCATTACGGAAAAAAATGTAAATGTGGTGTGTTTTTCTCTTCTTGAAGTCAATCCAAATAAATTCGCTTTTTAATCGCTTCAAGTTCCCTGCCAAAGGAAATATGCAAAAGCTTCCTCTGAGGGATGAGCAGCTACTTTCCTTCCCAATCCTCCTTTTGAGTTTTGCCCAAGGCAAAACAAGCCTTGGCTTTCCACCAAGAACTCTGATGAGATGGCTAATCCTCAATTTAAATTAAGGTCAAAGAGAATAGGCCTAGTTAACAAGTTCACACATTGCTCATTACGCTGGAAGCCAGTAGCACCGATCCTCTTCTCTCTGTGTGTCTGTGTTACCATTTCCTCCTTATGGGTCTTTGAATAACTCCCATCTCTGTTATGTGATGCACGAAAAATCCAAGCCAGGGTCCATCCAGCATTTCCTCTGCTCTATGTCTGCCAAAGCCTAAATACGAAGTGGCCTCTGCCTCCATCGAACGCAGCAACTTCAGAACAAAAAGCGAACAGAAAGACTAAACCCTGCGAACAACAGGACAGGCTGTGGATAACTGCAGCAGCCAGAGGGAGGGAGGGAGAAGCGAGTTGACTACTGGTGACCCCTCGTCTATAAAAGCACACGTGCTTACAGGAAAAGAATAAGAAGAGTAAGTGGGGGTGGGGAAACATGGGAACATTATTCGGAAAATGCAGGGAACAGTTGTCGGAAGGTTTGCGGATCTGTGCGCTCGTCTGAAATAAACCGAGGCGCTGCAGCCGGCACGGATGTGACCTCACACCTGATGAATTCAAGAGGCCAGATTAAGCCAGCTGTCTCGCTACATAAGAGGACAAGAGATAATAAGCGCTGTAAGGGTACGAGCGTGAACGAGAGAGAGAAAAAATCCTCCAGACCCTTTCACCTCAGGCTAACTCTGATAATACATTCCCTCAACAGCATGCTGGGTGAGGAAACCGCATATGAGATTATTAAAAGCAGTCCCCTTTCTGGGAAGCTTCTCCACAGGCCGCCGTGCTCCGATACCATCAGTCACGTAGGGTCAGGTCGGGTCAGGCAGCAGCACTGATCAGGCGGGACTCCCAAATCCACAAATTACTTTCCAGCACGTTTCACAGTTCTTTCCAGCCTACTTGACCTGAAGACACTTCAGACAACGTGTGTGTGTGAGTGTGTGTGAGTGAAACCGTAAATGGGAGAATAAAAGTGAGAGAGATGGGGGGGTCTGAAGGCAGGAAATTAAATATATCCATCCAGACGGCCCAGAGAGCAACAGGAAGCAGTTCAAGGTAAAACCAGGTGCACAAAACACAATTTTCTGTGCCTTGGAAACTTCTTTTGGATAATTCAGCATGTTCTTCTGTCCGCACAGCTAAATGTAAATTTTGAATTTGAAAGTCA